GCTTAGAGAGGGCTGAAAGCCCTATGAAGCGGTATATAAGTCTAACTGCTATTGCTATTGCTAACTGCTATTGGTGTCCTTCATTTGCAGCTCAACTTGGTCATAAAGGAATGCCCAAGGGGGGGGGGGGCGACAATCCACACAATAAATTATGAGTTTAATAAACCCATATTTTCTGGTTCAGGAACCTTCTACAAACACGGAGGCAGACAGCATAAAATAGAAGCATCAGCAGAATTGATATATCAATTAAGATAGTCGTAGAGTCCAGGATGGGTTCTTGGGACCAGATTAGGTAGGCATTTGGCATCATCTATCTCTGAAAGCTCCTTTGCCAAAGAGCCCCAAGCCATGTGCTCCTTTTGGCTGGAAAGGAGCAAACAAAACTCCGGCAAAACTCCTGGAGCATTCTTCCATCATTGCCTGGAGCTGGGGCTAGATAGGAAGTGGGAAGCCCTGGTTTAACTAACACTCATTCTCCCTAGGTGTAGAAAGAACTTCTGCTACTAAGCATCTGCAAAGCTGCCAAACTAGTGCTGAAAGGTAATCAAATGTCCTTCATTCGCCCTCTGCCACGTTCTGTGCTTCCTGCTCATTGTCTCCCTCCCAGTCTCTTTCCGCTCTTCCCTGCAAAAGAAATTACAATTGTTATTTATTCAACTCACCCAACCCATTGCTTCTAATCTCTGAGCCTGCAGCACTCAGTAAATTGAATCAGAGAAATGCTCTGTAACCTAGGAAAGGCTCTTGGCTAGGCACCAGGAACTTGGGAACCTCACCACCCAACAGGAGCACGAGAAACCAAAATCCACAGGCTTGTCTGCCATCCTACAGGCAATATTGGTGGCTCACTGATTTTGTGTGGCACATTCTGACAGCAGACAGACAAGAGTGCCTCAACAAAGGAGACGCTTTCTCTTTCCTGTGTCTTTAAAGCAGATGCTACGATTCCAGTTTTCAGTGTGGAATGCAAAAACAAGGCAGATGATATCACTGCAAGGTCCTGGAAGGACATCCTGCCCATTAGTTGTGATTTCATCTGTATAAAATTTCTGTGCACAGACCCTGATGGGTTTCCATTTTACAGAGAATTCAGAAAGATGACACAGCAGAAGAGAGGCTCAGAGCACCACTGCAAGAAGAGAAAGATAATGCTCACTGCAAAGACATAAGAGTCTATTAGGTATTACGCCGAGGCAATAAGAGCAGCAAAAACATGCTTATTTTTCTGCTCTTCTGGCGTTCTTCAAGTATCAGCTGGTTTCCCTGTTTAGAATGACCGGTCCTTTTTGGGTCAAGAGGTCCTGAGGAGTACCTGCAATGCAAATGTGAAGGCTACTTTCAACACTTGTTAAATAGAATCATTTGGATTTACACCAGTCGGATTCCATTTTGCAAGTCCTACAAAGTTGACTTGTGTTATTATCTGGGAGGAGTTGAATTCTCTTCATCTTGAGAAAACAGACAGGGTCCTGCGCCCTGTCTGTACAACTAATTGTGTTTTAAATCCATGTTCCCACTAGTTGGTCAAGGTTTCCAGGGAAGGGGTGTGCCAGGGGATCCATAGGACCACCAAAAATCAGGTGGCCTTGAGAGCGGAGGTAGCTTTCACCCCTCCTCAAGAAGCCATCACTGGATCCTATGGAACCAAACAGTCTCCAAACTTTCCTTTTAAGAGAAGTGGTTAGTTTACAGTCCCAAAGGATTCTGGAAGAAGTTGATTATATGAATTCCTTCTAGTCTGGATTCAGCCCAGGATATAGTACCAACCCAGTTCTGACTGCATTTGTTGATAATCTATTGCAGGTTCTGGATGGACATAGTACATCTATCTTCTGTGATCTTTCAGCAGCCTTAGCAATAGCAATAGCAAGAGCAGTTAGACTTATATACCACTTCATAGGGCTTTCAGCCCT